AAGTTTATTTCCACCATGGCACGGATTGATCAACTTTTGGTATATATCAGGCCTCGGGAACTGCACTTTTTAGCGGGCCTGTTTTACATTTTTGAACATTTTATAGAAAATATTCAACCGATTTACTTGAAATTTTATATATAAGCTCAGCTTGACCATCCGCAAAAATTAGTATGTTTTGGAAGAAATCAGGCATCGGCAACTGGACGTTTACTACGGGCCAAATATACATTTTTGTGTATATAAAGAGAAATAATCAACCGATTTCATTGAAATTTAATATATGAATTCCTCGTATTAAAACAATGAACATGTAAAATTATTGGAAAGATCAGGGCTCGAAAACTGATCTGCGGGCCGCTTTTACATTTTTCAACATATCTACGGAACGAATTGATGGAATTTCTTGAAATTTGATATTTGAGTTCTAGTTGTTACCGAAACGAACTGGCGAGCATTTCAGGGAATTCGGGTAGCACAAAGTGAAACTCTACTAAGAGCCAAATTTACATTTTTCTAGGTATGTTAACTATAAGCTTAGGAATGTCCTAAAAATTGGAAAGAAGTATTTAACAGACATTTTTATAATATTCTGTAACACTTTTATTTAACTAGACAATACACAATGCGGTCGGTTATTTGCTGACCACATCAGATTTTTTTTTTAATGAACACCGTTTGTTGCAATATTTCTCATATTTTTTTTTTAATTAAATTAAAATGAAATCTGGTTCTGACGACAAAATTCTTATTTTTTTTTCCCTTATTTTATAGCATTCGTTTCAAGATAAAAATTATTGATTACAGAATAATATTTAGACGTCAGACTTTATAAAAAATAAAGAAAATATTTTCAATTAACAAACAATTTTACTGTAGGTACGGAAAATTTAATTTGAATTTTTAATTTATTATCGCAAATTATTAGACTGTCGTTAACTTTATTATTTAGTGACCTTAAAGTAAAGTTTTTAAAGAATTTTTTTCAATATTTTCACAATATAACATTGAAGTTACGATAACGTTCATTATACGTTATCATTGAACTTTAATTGGATGTAATATGAACATTATAAATATTGCAATACGAGTTGGTTTTTGATGAAAATTCATAACATTTGAAATTGGAATTTAATTGGGATTTTTAAATTTTTGTTACTACATCATAAATTTGCAGTTTAGTTTGAATGGAAATCGTGTAGAGTAGAAATGAGAATTATGATTTAACAAGGAAAGTATATAGAATAAATATTTCAATTAATTTCCGCTGTTGAAACTAAAATATTTCACGAAGATTTAGAAAATATATTTTGGGTAAAAAATTGTGTGCGATCATAATTTTTGAAATTTAAAACAAAAGTTTCTTACATTCGGAACTCTATATACTTTATCTATACACTATGAACGAAGAGTTATGATTCGAAGAATATTAGAAATTTACCACTTTGTTTGCATAGCGTCAACCAACTGAAGTCTGGGATATAGAAAAAAAATAATAAGTATATTATTGTTTAACTTTTACATTTTTAAGTGAAAAGCATTTGAAATTTTACGAGCGAAACGCATTTTAAAAGAATGTTTGGCTTATGACTTTTGAAACTAATGAAATACTTAAAGAGCCTTTAATTTTATAATTTCATCACTATTAAATTTTTAACAGTATTATGCTGCAGGTAAACTTAAATAGTTGATTTCCAATAAATAAATAGAAATTGAGAGCAAAACGTAAAAAAATAGAGGTTGTATGTCAGCTACGCGAAGCAGTACCCCGATCATATCCAATTTCAATAGGTTTCTGGCATTTACTATAATAAATCATTTGTGAAAATATGGTGAACTTAGGTTAATTAGTTTTTGAGTAAACGTTGGGATGGACGGACAGACAAAGCTAAATCGACTCAGAATTCGACGCTGATCAAACACATACACTTGAGTCTATATTTTGTTACAAACGATAATGTAAATTTATTATACTCTTCGAACATACGGTCGTACGGGTATAATAACTAGGTGACGACATTGATGAAGTTATCCAGTGATATTTTACCCAGTTTTATGTATTCCAAGTTCGTGATAACTAAAAAGCGACTATATCTTAGTGACAATTACAGTAAAATTTGATTTTGCTTGTTTTGTTTAAAGTACTTGGAATAGCTACCACAAATCTTCTAAAAAAATTTACTAATATTTCTGTAATATTTCTTTAAAGGCTGCATACATTGAAACTTCTATACATTTTTTTTGGAAAATTTTAATCGAACATAATTATTTTATTAATTTCGTTTAGATCACTATAATTTCGCCCCTATACCCATAAAACTCTATAAACATAAATAACTATAAAAGTTATTTACAGGCATTTACTGAAATTACAAACTAATTCGAGCATTATTCTAATTAAATTTGGTAATGAATTCATAAGTTTTTTTTAGCACTGTTCCAAAAAAATGTGCTTATTAGTTTCACTCTGTCCGTCCGTCCGTCGGTCCGTCCGTCCGTCTGCCCGTGCGTCTGTTTACAAAACTTCTACACCCTAGAAGATAGAAAGCTGAAATTTTGTACGTACATAGATCTTTACTAGAAATTTATTTTCGTAGAACAAAATTTTTATCTATCTCCCCCCCTCTAGAAGTTATACCCCCCCAAAACAATAAAAATGGCATTTTTTAACTATTTGTTACAATGAAACCATAAGCATTTTTGAAATTTTGCAAACGCACAAAGACAGCGGCTTGCTTCCCCTAGAGCGGTATACCATAGTTAAACTTTAGAAAAACAAAATGGCCGTTCAAATTTACCGTTATCTAAAGTCCTTTTTTTCCAAATTTTTGATTTCGTTTTTCTTCTAGACCCCAGCCTGTAGAAACTTGGAATTTTAGCGGCTTTTAGACATTAACAAATAGTTCATTTCGTTAGAAGAAAATTGTTTTCCATCTCCACCCCCTCTTAAGTTATCGCCTCTTGAAATTCGTAAAATTTCAATTTTTGACACCTTATATTTCCGAAACCGCAAGCTTTTTTAAATTTCTGTAAACGCAAAAAGCTAACGGTAAATTCCATGACATTAAAAAATATAATTATTTTTCTAAACTCACACAATTAAGCCTTAAATTCGAGCATTATGTTAACCCCACTTTATATTAATTTTGCTTTATTTCAAGGACTGCATACATATATGCATCATCCTAAATATGCAATCCTAGAAATAATTTGGTACATTATATGAATGAAAATAATTTCAATAGCGTGGTAAATATACAAAGACTGTATTTTAAAGCAGAATTTTCACTTGTTGAAGGGAAAAGTGCTACAATACAAACCATTGGTTTGACCCAACTTTATATTATTATACCATTCAATAATCTTCAGTTACAATAAAATATCGGAAACAATTGAAACTATCACAAATGCAGTGTGAAAATTGTTATACAACTATTTGATTATAATTAACCATTGTTCACTATTTCGTCTAATTACAATAAAATGCATTTCATAATACAAAAAAATTTTTGTGAAATTTCAATAAAAGCTTCCATAGTGTTTTAATAATACTTAAATAATAATGTACTAGTACTGTTTTTCAGTTTATTTACTTATTTGTACATATATTTTTACAGAAACTGCAATTATTACAAAAAAACCTGTTAATTATTGATCAAAAAATTTGACTGATTGAAAAGAAATTACTGAAATTTATTCACTTTGTGCCTAATGACTTATAAGAATTTTTCTATAGGATTGATAATATTTAGCGTGAATAATTCGAAAGGAATGAAATGCGGTACATATTTCGTACATTAATAAAAAAATATTGACTTCCTGTCTATAGATTATTTTCAAAGAATTTAAAGTAAGCAGATGTTTCACTACTTTTAATAATAATAAAACATCTGCTAATACTTTCGTTACTTTTAAAAGTTGCTGAATATCAATGAATAAATAAATTTTTGAAATGTAGCATATTGTACTTGCACCTTTCCAAAAATGAAATATTGCTCCTTAACATAAATAAAAATTACTTGCTCATAATGATAATCAGAAAGTGGAAATTAATGTGTTTAATCATAATGTACTTATATGACGTGCATATAACAAAATAGTTCCTGCGCACTCGAACTGCTTTAGTATAGTAGCTTCCGTATCAGTTGAATCGAAAAATGTTGTAAATAAATTTTTAAAATTATTTTCTTCCGGCTAACTTTGCCTTGTTTGATACAAGCCCCAACAATTCGACGTTTTGCGAATAGAAATCATTTTTCAAATACTTTTATCTCATTCGATTTCTATAAAATTACGTCTAATGGGTGATTAACATACAGTGATTACACGCTTTTCAAGAAGACTACGTTTGATGCAAAACCATCAGCGAAATTTCTATAATAAAGAAATGAATACAAATTTGGTAGAATTTTCTATAAGGTATACATCTAGAACATGTATAGGTACACACTTTCAATCTTTTGCTTTTCTCACAGATTTTTATTTGGATTGCACGTGGGAGTAAAAATATTTTATTGTATAAGGTGTGTGATTCTGAACTCCAAATTTTTTCTTATAAAATAAACAGTATTTTGTTTGTTAATAAAGGAGAAGCCGAAATTTTGTTAAGCATACTACCGTATTGTCACTATTATTATCAATCGTAAATTTCCGATTTACGATCCAATTAAAGTAACGCAAATTTTCATGAGTTCATTTGAAATATTTGTATTTGACATATTATATATGACAGCTGTCAACCTCTTATTATTCTCGAAAACTTGTGCTGGCGTTTTGTTTTTATAACACGTTCTTGTGTTTTTTTTTGAATCCTGCTTGATTTGTTATAAACGTAAACTTGGATGTGACATGTTGCCTTAAAATTGAATTAATGTTATTGTTTTTTTTAGAATTTTTCGTTTTTAAAATTTTTGCATTCAACTATTTTATGTTTTAATCATTTTTTCAAAGTCAGTTACCGATTTGTAATCGAAGTTTAAAGTTGTAAGTAAAAATTTCGAATCACCTGAATATTTCATAAATAAATAAGAAACTAATACGAGTAATAATATGTTTAAATCATATTTAACTTTTATATTTTTACTCTTCTTAATGAAAGTCAATGGTTATTATGAATTGCATCAAGTAAGAAATTGTGACCATGAAAATTGTTTTGAATGTGATATTGAATTTAAAGTTTACGATAATGGTGCATTACAAGTTAATTTTAAAAATCCAAATGGATTTGAAGTAGCTGGTTTTCATGGTAATGTTAACCGTGGAATTCAATTTGGTGAAATCGGCGATATTAATTTTGATTTAAATAAATCGAAACGGAGTAACATATGGAAATATACAATTAGAAATGCCTTTTTAGAACGTTATAATGAAATACGATATTGGGTTTATATACAAAAGAATGGACAACAAATATTTTGTGATAGATTAAAAACGAGAATTGAAGGTAAGTTTATTTTATTCAAAAAGTGATATTGTATTAGAAGTGAGTGATATGCTAGATCTATAGAGATTATTTTTATAAGATGTTAGGATGAGGTTAAAGGAAATTTTCAATTATTTTTAAAATAAATTAGAGAACAGTTTAACCCTTTGTATTTTCGGCGAAACCTTATATAATAATAAAATGTAAGGCTTCTGTAGAAAACGGAAATCGCAAGGTTTTCTGAAAAATAACAAAAATTTCCACTTGTCGCAATTTCATTTAGGTGAAAATGCACATTATGTAACATTTAATTCTTGAAATCTGGTTACCTTAAATTGAATAAAAGAAAAAGTTTTGTATAAAACATGTTCCCAAATCCTTGAAGCCAGGTAATGATAACAATAGTTAAATTGTGTGCAGTGTTACAAGGTTGAAAGAAACCAGTTAAATTCTCTTATATTTTATGGAAAGCATCACAATATGAAAATGTAATCTTATGCAATCCAAAATAAAACTAGAAAGACGAGCAAATAAATGTTCAAACTGAATTTGTATTCAAACTCAATTCTGTTCGTCTATAATAAGTAATTATTGACCCTCAATTGTTTTTTTTTGAAAACTTAACATATTCGGATTTTCTTAAAAATACTTTAAGCTGTTGTTTATTTTTTTTAGTATATAAAATATTGTTTTGCAAGTATAATTAAATATTAAGCTCGAATATGCTTTTTTTTAAGAAGATGCTAAGGAAAGCTAATTATTTTTGAAAAGCTTTCTAAAAAGCAGTCAATTACAATATACCCATACATAATATACTTCGAGTTGAAAACTGAAAAGGTAAAATGTTAACATACATATATGCATATATAAATATCTATAAACACTCATACAACATGAATAATTCGAGATTAAAACGAATGAGTTTACTCGTACAATTTTGCTTTATTCTTATTTTACTTCACACAATATCTCTCTGTGAATCTATCCAGTCGAACTAGTCTTACAAGTTTTTGATGTCTCAATATTTGGAATTATTTGTATAAGGCAGAATTTACCTATGTACATATGTGTATGTATGTTTAGTATATTGTATAATATGATTATTATTTTGACGACATTATGAACATAATTTATTAACTCGTTAATTATATTTACGTTTTCTTACTGTTGACTTCTGTATGTTTTGTTCAAACCTGGAGATTATTTAAAATTTTTTATTTCGTTTGAAATGCCGTAAATAAAACAGCTAATTTTATATTAAGATATATAAAACATTTTAGTTTTGCAATTTCAACGTTCTATTTTCAAGAGTGTAGAAATTTTGTAAACGGGTCCGCGGACGGACAAAATAAAACTTATAAGCCTTTGTTCAAAATTTTGGAGGGATTTTGTTCTCATTTCGACATAACATAGCAATAGCCCATAATATGAAATTATGTAAAATTTAATCTTATCTCTGAATATTACGAATTTATATATTTACGTCAATCAGCTCGGGCTCTTAATATTCAGAACCATTTTTTGTATTGCCATAAATTTTTAAGAAAATTTTCTTTAAACAGTCATAAATGTTACAATAAATTACTTTGGAGAGTATTTGCATTTATAAAACTTTTATAAATATAACAATTCCAAATCGTTCCACAGGAATCCTAGGGTTAACCAAACTATTTTTTTGTATTCTCATTTATTGAAATTGCTATTAAAAAGATTATATTAACAAATTATTCTCAAAAGTAAAAAAAAAAACAAAAATTGCCAAAAATATTTAAAATTGTTCTGACCAATTTTAGTTGTTTTTAATCTTTGACCATATTAGTTTGTTAGAATTAAAAATATTTCGCTTTATTATTTTGTTTGTTGCTGTTGTTTTGCAAAAAAAAAAATATGAAATATTTTTTACCAATAATATTTTTAATATCTTTAAATTTCATATTAAATATTAGCATTGTGAAAGCAGAAGAATGTTCAAGTACAAATACATTTGGATATTGTACAATTTTAGGAAAACATAAACCAAAAATTGAAATTTTTAAACCAAAAGGTATAAGAGTTATAGTTAATGATACCCCCGGTTTACAAAAAGTATCATTTCGAGCAAATATCAATAATCCTATATTTCGGGATGATAAAGGCGATTATCATTTTGATTTACAAAAGAAAGATGGAAAATGGGTTCATTATGTTGAAAATATTAATTTAAAATTAGCCGATCAAATTAATTTCTTTTTATCAGTTCGAGAGAATAATAAAGATGTGAATTACTTTAAGAAAAGAATTCTGGTTAAAAGTAAGTACTTTTAAAAAGTAAGAATTTTAAATTCTTGTTAGGTTTGTAATAGTTTTTTAATTGTATTTGCTGGCTCATTCCGTAATTTTTCTTAAATTAAAACTATTAACAGATAGTATAACTTAATTTTTGTATAGGAATTGTTTTATAAGAAATCAGAAATAACGTGAATTTCATTCAATTCATTCAACTCTGAACTTTTTATTCAATTGAAATTTAATTGTATTCGAATTGTGTTCATACATTTGTATTGTTGTTCACAAAATTTTTTCTAAAAAGCTCAGTATAAGAAAATAAATAATCAGTTTTCTGCTTGAAACTAATAACAGCGCGTTAAAATAATAAAATAATTTTCAAGTGAAATGAGCTTCCGTATATGTGTCTTTTATAATATGCAGGAAATAAAGCATAAATAAGCAAGGTCTTATGAAAGAATGTGTTCTATAGCAGTTTTATTTTTTTGTTCGTAATTTTCTTAATAAAAATGTCATAACATGCTTTCTTATCAAGTTTTTTTTTTAACAATTTACAATTATTTTAATTTAAAACAATATTTTTATTTTAGAAATAGATCCATCACCATTTGCTAAAGTAACACAAACAACACAAAATCAATCAGTACAAAATAATTTAAATAATCATTGTCCACCATGTAATTGTCAAGGAAAATCAACAGGACATGCAACAGCAAGTGCAACTGCAACAGCTACAATGAATATTAATGTACATAATAGACAACCAGTATCAAATACAGTTAATAGACCAATAACACCAGCAACTGGACGTCCACATGCAATATCACCAACAGCACCAGCATGTAATCCACCACCTGCCCAAACAACAGATAGTTTATGTGATGTTGTTGATCTTATTAGTACAATAACAAAATTAGAAAATGCTCAAGCAACTATTGAAAGTTTAATGGAAGTTATTGAACAACTTAAAGGTGAAAGTCAAGCAAATGGTGTTAAAGGATTAAAATTATTTTATCAAATGTCTAAACCACCATTGCCTCATCAAGATCCTGTTAATTTAATAAAATCTGTAATTGTTGATAATCTTGATATGATTGATCTGGAAAATGAAATTGCTCAAGCATCATTTATTGATGGTGGAATTTTATTTGAAGTTAAAAAAACTATTGATAAAATGAGAATTTTATATAGAGCAAAGCAAATGTTAGCAAATTCAAAAAATAAAATTATTGATCCAGAAATTTCAAATAATAATAATAATGGTGTTAATATTGCACCAAATATTTTGTCAACAACAACAAAAAAATATGATAATTTTAATGAATTGGCTAATAATGTTTTTGGTTCATCGAGTACAACTGAACCATCATCAAATTCTGATATTGATGAATCATTTTGGAGAAGTGATGATACTGGTATTAGAGTACCAACCAAAGTTAAAAATGTTTAGTTTAGTGTATAATCAGTTTAATGAGAATATTTTTGTTTAAATAAAACAGTTTTTTTATTTTATTTTTATATTTTTTTTAATTATTGTAAAAATTTCAATTTTGTGTGAGATTTTTTTTTTAATTTCATCTTATAAATAAGTTCAAACATTAAAAAACTCAAGTAAAAATAAAATTCAAATCCATCTTCAGTGACAATTTTAAAGTAAATTTTCAATAATATTTTTTAACTTAATACTGGAAATTAATTGATTTTAAGAATAGTTTATGTTGTCATACAATTTTTCCATATTTTCTTACATGTTCTACATCATACATGTTTGATACATTTATAAATATTTGGTGCACGGTTGAAGTATTCATTTCGATCATTGAGTATTCTTTGTATCCAAATATTTTAACAATTATAGTGAGAGTACCTTGTCAAAGAAGTTATTAATTCTTTTAAACTTCAAGAAGTTTTAAACCAAAAGCATTTATGAAAAAATTAATGTTGTTTCGAACAGTTTTCAAATATCTATAAGGGTTGAGGTAGACATACAATTTTTAGTCTTGCAAATACTGCAAAGTCGTTACGCTCTCGTCTAAGCAACTATTGCAACAATTAAAATCGATTGTGTTAACTAAAAATTACCAGGAGTGTAAAAAACTACAAAGTGTTCGATTGCTTAATTGTATGCGATCATACAATTACATGTGTGCGCACTTAAATATAAAACTATGGAATATAAATAAGCAATCAAATAGTTGCAAAACTAAAAATTGCATATATCTCTCCCTGAGCCCCAAATATGCATTAAATATAAATGTACTTTATGATAGAGGTTGAACAATTTGATTAAAAACAATGAACTTTTTTTTTTAGGAAAAATTTTTTTGCGACAACCATCTCATTTTGTTTAGTGAATTAAATTATTATTTAAATGCTTGCATTCAGCTTTTTCCGGTTCATAAATTTTTCTTTCATCATGTGGTTGTGTATTTTTTTCAGCTGCTATTAAAATTCTTTCGACATCTAACAGTGAATTAGTTTCAAAAAGTATTCCACAATCTGTATAATGTGCATTAATTATAATATCATCTAGATCATCATCTATACCTAATTTTGATTTGAGGAATATTTTAACATCTTTCTTTGGATCAGTTATTATAGATGATTTTCCGGTTAATATTAATGTTGGTGCATTCTTATCATTCTTTTGTAATAATAGTAGCGTTTCAAGTAGAACATTAACTTCAATTTTTGCATTTTCCAATTCTATTTTTAATTTTTTATATTCTTCTCGATCACATTCAATATAATTTGATAACAATAATTTATTTTTTAATGAATCATCTATATCACATGGGCATTTGGTGCTTCGATATCTTTCGAAAAGTAAATTATCACCAGGATATGTAGCAAGATCTTAAATTTATAATAATAAAATTATTGAGTTAGAGAAAATTTTGTGTGTACAATATTGAAAATATTTAAAGGAGATATGTACATAAATAGTGCTGAAAATATTAATTGCAAAATAGTAGTGCTAAAATAGTAAATTTTCTGTGCACCACCGGCTAAATTAAAATTTAATTTTCTTAAAATCATTTTAAAACTCCCGTTTTTATGTAAAATTATCAAACTTTTTTGATGTTATGGTTTAAAATTATTACAATAAGTGAGTAAAACCATTATTTATATTGTTTAAAGAGCTATACAGGAAACAATTTTTGTAATTATACAATAGAACTACTCTTTTTTGAGTGGCGCTATTTAAAATTGAAAAAACTAATACTCCCTAGTGCCCCTCAAAAAAATAGCTTGTTGTGTAATCATTGCATATTTGCTTATTATAATTTTACAACATTTTAAATTAATTTTTTTAGAGTGTACAGTTTTGGACAAATCTTTCCTATTTCATTAAGAGTTACTACTCAAATATTTTCAGATCAAATTTTTAACTTTTATATTTTAGTCTAAGACATACTAAGCGACATTGCATACTTACTATGAACAGTTTTATATGTTTTCGGTGACCAATATTCTTCTCCATTAACTTTAACATAATACCAATAATAAATACGATCGTCAATTTTAAATTCAATATCTTCATCAATGTATGTCCAGCGACCATTTTTAGGTTCAAATATTGTGAATTTTAATGTACCATTATCATATTTATTTGAAAATGGTTCATTAATTTTTGCATGAAAATCAAAAATTTGTAAGCCATCAAAATCACCAATACTTATACGTAATCCTTTTGGATTAAATGTTTCTATTAATGGTGTTTTCTCTAATTTGGCATACCATCTTGGTTTCGATTTAAACCAATCAAAAATACCACCTTCTATTTTAATAATTATTAAACAAAAAATTAATAAAAAATAATTTAATTTATACTGACGCATTTTAAAATTTTTTTTTTGTGTTAAAGTTTTTAAACTTTATATTGCTACAGTTTGATTGTGACTAAATTGAGATTTTAAATGAATGAAATAATTAAAATAAAAGTCTGTATATGAATGTGAACTGATCAAATCAACATAATTCTGTCTACTTTGCACTATTTCTGTATGCATAAATAAATTACAGCTTATCAATTTTTGGAGAATTCTCCTTTAAAAGCAAAAAGGTCAGAAAGAGAATAAAAATAATACCCGCAATGAGTAATGATTGTGAACTATTGTACGATAACAGTATATATGTATACTGATAACGATAGTAATATTTTGAAAGATTTATCTACAGTAGCTCTTTATTATTATGCATAAAAATAATAATGTGTTTACAATATGGATTACAGAATTTAACAATTTCGAGTACATGATGAAATTTTAAAATAAGAAAAGCAAAAATGATTGAGTGAATATGTAGAGTTTATTAAATTCTTGAAGTTTTAAAGTTTGCGGGTGTCGCAGGTCTAGGACATACAGGAAAGAAATTTATAACGCAGGCTTATTACATTTCTTGAATGTGTTGAAAATCAAATTGTAGGTTGTATTAGGACGATCATTTAAATTTAGCATTATTTACGTATAGCTAACGATTATATAATTTGATAATAAGTGCCAATTATTATGTACATAACAACAAATAATTGTCAGTTATCACTAGTCAATTGTTTCAATTTTATTTTTAGCTTACTTACAAAAAAGTGCCTATTAATTTCAATTTATCTTCTTGCATGTACGCTTGGAGAGCAAATTTTTTCATCTTTTCAGATACACATTTTACTTGAAGGAGTTTAAAAGGTTTTTCAAAAGTAATTTTAAAATTTTGAAAGAAATTATGGTATTTTGCAAATAACGGGCTGGGCAACCTCTAGCGAGACCCTTAATCATTTATTTAAATTAGACATTAAGAAAACAATTTGGGTGTTTTCGTTTATTCAGTTCTAGAATAGTTCTAGTTTGTTGTACGTTCGAAAATTCACGCTACATACTTTGAAAATAAAGATTGTTCGGAAATTACTGGCTGTAATAAAATACATTCGCGAATTCAATTTGTAACAAAAAAGGTGCAGAAATGTAGCGCAGAATTATTTTCTGTTATTTTCGAACTACTGATTATTTAGAAGTGTCAGAATTTGCAAACTGGATTAACAAATACAGTTTTTTGCATACAGTGTAACGCTGAGGCTTAGAAATTTTAGTTCTAATGTAGAACTTTCGGCGCAGCGTGCATAAACGAAAACCCCCTTATTATTAACAGAATTGCAATGAAAGATTTTTTATAAAATTTTGCTATAACGGGGATTTTTTTTATGTATAAAAATAAGAGCATACAGAAACAGACCTTTGATTAGAAATAATTAAAATTTACGTAATATTAATTTCTCTCACTTCTTCATTTTCAATTAGAATTTCTCTGTTTTCAATTAATTTCAAGATTAAGTATAAAGTAACTATCAAATCTGTTAAAAAATAATACAAACACTGAAATGAGATTAGCGATGTTGGGAAACTATTCATAATAAGTTTAAATGTATTGTGTATATTTTGGGTATGTCTATACATATGTATATAGTTTTGTTATTATGACAATAATTGTACAAAATACGTTTTGCTTTTAAAATAAAGATTTATTTTCTGCTGAACTCACTATAAAACGATTTCCTAGCTTAGATTTGATAATGAAATTTTTGCATATGACTTTTTCAGTGTTGTGAAAAATATTTGTAATTTTATTAATTTACGACTAAAATCATAAGATATTTTTCGGGCATTCACTTGGCAAAAATATTTATTTTCAATCACAGTTTGTAATATCAAAACATCAACAGGCGTCATAATTCCAAATTTCGTCATGATTGCAATATTATGAATATTATTAATATTTATATTATGAATTCATTCGAAGAATTATCCAAAATAACTCACTCATGCATTGGAGATTTATTAAAGAAGCTGGAAAAATTGTTAAAAAAAATTTTAAGTTTAGAATAAATACTAAAAATTCTAAGATAATAATGTTTATTTTTGAATTTTAAAAAAGCAAACGTTATGGTTTTATCAACATTTCGTTGTATTTTGGAATATTTATCAAATAATCATTATCTGTGTGTCACTCACAACTTAAAAATTTTGATTACAATGGTTATGTAATTTAATATAAACATTATTGTGTGTCTGATTTAGAAATTTCCTAGATTTTTAGTTAACCTACAATATTTACCATTTTGAAAAATTTCCTAAGTTTATAAGACATTGATAGCATTCCGTATTACACAGATTTTGACTACATTAAACAAATTGCAATTTTACACTTTTCGAATTCTAATGCCTTCATTAATATTTAAATTGACTTAAACCAAGTGTTTGATTTTTTGCGTTTATTTGGAGTGTAGAAAATTGGTAATAGTCTGGTAATTTTAAAGAGGATTGGAATAAAGAATTATTTTTATGCTAACGTTAACATCATAAAAACTACAATTTGTATCCCAAGATTTAAAAAATAAACTTTTTTTATTTGACAACGCAGTATTGCAGTGTAATAGCATTTAGGTTTTTAGTGTTACAGGTTCAAGGAATTTTTAAACTTGGGTATAATAATACGGAATTTTACATTTATTTAACCGAGCTGGTTAATTCGTTCCGTTGCCAATTTTATCTGCATATTTTATGTTAAAATATTATTTTTCAATGGTAGTCACTGTAATATTTTAAAGCCACTGTAATATTTACATATCAGAATTCTGAATTTATGGAAACAGATCAAAAATTGCCAGTCACTAAAGGGTTAAATTGCCTTACTCTAGGAATTTCAAATTTGATATCGTATTTACATTCCGACTCTTATGTAGTGTAATTTCTTTGACTATATGATTAATGTTTTTGTATCTCTCAATTTAGATACCATCAGTACACTGATTAATAGTTATTTTTTAAGAAATTTTGTGTTATATGAATTTTTTTTTAGTATTATGTGCTTTCAAAATTTAAACAGATTCATATTAATTCAGGTATGTACGTGTGATTGAACTATGTACAAGACAAATTAAACATAATTAATTCCGAACACTTTTTGGGTTATGATTTTTTTTATATTTTTCAATATTTATATTATGTTTATAGTTCTGATTAATTGTATTGTGTTGTTTTAGGGAATCCCTCAATATTACACTAAAATTATGCGACGCTTAAGGTGAAAACATTAAAACTGGTATCTATGAATTATGCCACCTAAACTTTTCTTATTATTCATTCTTTCATTCATTCATACATTATGCTCTTAATACATCAAGTTTTTTTTACACATTTATGTTAATCATTGTATTCTTGTATTAAATAATGTATTACAGTGAAAAACTGAATTCAAACCAGTTTATGACGAATAAAAAAAATCTTAAAAATTTTAATAACCGCAGTTCAATATTCATTATTAATTAACATTGCTTTGATTTTACACTATTATGCGTAGCATTCTTATTCATAACGTTTTGTAGTTAGTATAAAAAATTATTTTTGTGATGGGAATTCCAAATAATCTTGTGTCCATGATAATCAATGATTCAATTTTATTATACTCATCTTAATACTTTATGAATGTAGTGTGTAGATCTATAAATTATAAGAAGAATATTACAATATATTAGTTTCGAATTTCTTCGAACTTAAAAAGTTCACATTGAAATTATTGATAAACCTTGAAAATAATTTTGATAGATTGTTGATGTGTTTTTTTCCCGAAAATTAATTTGTAATCTCTTTGTATAGAAAATGAATATTAAGAGAACAGCAAGCTAAAAAAAAGACGTAGTATAAATGTTAAGAGAGCTTGAATTTTCATTATCAGTCCTTATAAAACGTGTGAAGAGATCAGATCTAATCAATAATATTTTACCCGTTTAAATTAAAAACAAAATGTTTAATTTAAAAATTTTTACTGTACTTGTTTTATGTTCAATAATAGTAAATAGTGAAGCCGGTGTTTTTGATTGGTTTCGTTCTAAACCAACATGGTATAATTTAATTGATAAATATCCATTGATTGAAGCATTTCATCCAAAAGGATTAAGAGTTTCTATTAGTGATGTTGATGGTATGGAAATATTTGGTTTTCATGGTAATCTTAATCAATGTTTTAAACGTAATGAGCCGGGTATTTTGTATGGTAATGTAACAAAACCAACAAATGGACGCTGGGTATTTATTGATGAAAATATTGAATTAAAGAAAGATGATGCACTACACTATTGGATTTATGTTAAACTTAATGGGGAAGAATATTCATTTTCGAAGAATGTTTTTGTAATTAGAAGTATGAAAATTGAAATTTTTAATTGTCTTCTCACTTAAATTCTATATAATATTTTTTTTTTTTTGAAAATTTTAGATTTGATACCACATCCAGGTAATTTATATTTATTAAGTTATATTGATGAACGTATTGATAAAGGATCAAATAGAATTTTGGAAACATTACCAAATGAAGAAAAATTATGTAAATGTCCAGTTCAAATTCCAACATTTTCACCGGTTCCAATAACTACCACTGATAATAGTAATTATGTAACATCAGGAACTGGTGTTGCACAAAATATACCTGTTTATAGTCCAATTCCAGAAACTAATTATAATTATGTACAACCTGGAAATAATAAAGCTGAACAAACTGGAACAACTTATAATCCAGTACCGGTGAATCAAAATTTACCATCAGAAAATTTAATTGAGACACTTGATATACAAAGTGAACTTTTAACATGTAGTTTTCAAGTAGATAGTTTAAATGAAGTTATTCTTGATTTATTAAAAGATACTAATATGCATTCGAAATTAGTTTTGGTGGGGAAACCACAAACAAGAAATTCAGCTATAGATGAAGTTCGACGATTTTTAGTACAATTTTTAGAATTATATGATTTGGGTATAAAAATCAAAAAGGCTGAATATTTACCATGTGGAATATTATTTGAAATGTCATCAATAATTGATAAGAAGAGAATTTTATTACGAGCATCAACTGATATGAGAAATGTTGAATGTAAATTTTTAGAACCAGAAGTTGCCGGATGCTTTTAATCAAGCAATAATTTAATTATGTAAGAATTGATTACGATTAATATATTTTATTCAATTAAATTAAAATATTTGTAAGGAATTTCGAACGAAATATAAATTTAATAAAAAAATTTTGAAATGTGTAGATAATGTTTTGTAGATAGCTTAATTATGCAGAAGAAGATGTAGGCGTTATATAAATTATTTTGAGCTAATTTACCATATTGGAGCTGGGTATTGTTAAAAGATGATTTGTGTAGTTTCATTTTGTTTGGACTTAATGTTCTCGTAAATATTATGCATAGCTTTTACGTAAGCTCTTTATTTAACAAACTCTAGGTATGGGTTAAATTTTATTGTACTCTAAAGTGTATAAATTTTTTTTTAATTTTATTCTTTAAATTATCAATATTAACTATAATACTTTCGATTTTTCCCAAATTTGCTTCTCATATGGGATATTAAAGAATGGAATGAATACCTAATGTATGTATATATATGTATATTAAGGGCCGAAACCCCTAAACTGAATGCAAATTTTCTTATTTTAATATTTATGAGTAAATTTTATTTGTCTATATTTTAACATCAAAGATATTTAATTGATTGTGCCATTATATGCGGTATTCATTGATTTATTAAAAGTTGGTTTTAATTTTTTTTTCGAATTCCTAAATATTTTGTAAAATGAAAAATATCATAAAAAATTACAATAAAAAATATAAAATTTGGAGCAAGATTTCATAATTTTAAGCAATAAACGAATTAGTTAGGACAAATTATTCAATTGGTTTGATCATTTGCTTTGAACATTTCAGAATTGGGAAATTTTTTAAAAAAATCTTAAGAAAAATTTTTAGTGATTTGGAAAACACCTGTAGGTTCAAGTATACTTTTCATAGGTATTTCATTAAAATGTTTGAGGGTTGCCAACTTGTGGTAACGTTTTACTGTAATTGTACATCGCTAAATAATTATTTGAATTTAAACTTTGGCAAATTTATGGTTATCAGTTTATCACAGATCCTAAAATGTGTAATTTAATTTAGTTTCTAATTCATAATTGCAAATATGAGAATATTTACTTGTTTTGTTTTAGTTATTTATGTAAAATTAAAAAAAAATCAAATTGAAAATTGATTGTATACACAAATAATATTTACATCAAATCAAGGAAATCAATTCAAATTAAGTTTACATAAATCGTTTGTATACTAATATTATATTGTGAGGGCTATATGCATGTATGTATTATAAAAATTATAAGTATACATGTATGTGTTATAAAAATGATTTTATGCCTCGAGTATTTACTTACCCTAATAATAGATACAGAGAGGAATTAAATAAAATTTTTAAAAAATTCTATTATTAGATTTTTAATTTTTTTTTCAGGAAATTATTCTGGATGTGGTTTACTGGTCATCATTTGCCTTCTATTATAAAATTGTACATCCATATACATATAATATGTATATTGTATTTGTATTATCTATAATAATGCAATTTTATTTGTTTGACAGACAAAGTAAATGTAACCAGAATACATATGTATGCCCTGAAAGCATTTACTATATAATTTCGAGATTTATTTTTTGTTATTGTTTTTATTGTTGATTTGTTTTCAGTATTTTAAATTGGAATATAGGATTGAAATTTTTGCCTTTTATTATTATAACATGCACATGCACCTGCATAAAATATTATATACCTACATATGTGTATTGTTAATTGGTCATGTTCTATGCCAAAATGCAGAGTAGAATACGTATCCATTATCTACCAATATAGTATTTTTATATGAAAAAAGATGCAATGGTTGTCGTATTCAAATAATAATTATAATCAAAAATTATTATGGTTTGAGTCTTCAATAAAAAGAATTAAAAAAATTCTTTCAATATTCAACAGTAAAAATTTCTTGTATTTATTTTATACGTACTTGTATAAATATTATTATATGGGTATACACATATTATGTATATGTTTATCTAAAAATACAGTATTGGAAAAATCTTTAGGGAATTATTGATTTAAATTTTAAATAAATGTAAATGATGTGAACAGTATATGATTGACGACATTGATGTTTTGCAATCGAAACTAAATTTATATTATGACAGTGTGTAATTTTACTCTTCCAATAGCCTTTACTTAAGTAAATAAAAATTGCACTGCTCAATTACAACAACAGGAAAAAAAAGCATAAAAAATGTGAAATGATTCGATTTTGAATTAGACAAATAGTTGTAAATTTACAATCAATTATGTAACTATGCTAAGGTGGTCTAATAAATAGGTATTAATTAGACCACATTAATTAAAATTACATGACATTTATTAGATAGCAGTGAATTCACTTACGAAAGTGATTTTAAAGTTCAACAGTGTGTTTAACACATAATAAGAACCTTTTCAGATATATTAATGTAAAATTGCATACATTTAGGATAAAAACAAAAAAATTAGTCAAGCGCTAACATAAGTTGCGATAATAAAAATATTTTTAAATTGTATAACATTTACTGTTAGTTTTTTACTTTCATAGAAGTTTGGAAAAGCTTTCGAAAATATTGTTAGGCCCCAAAAAATTCAAAATTTTAAAAATTTGGTTTGACAATAATTTGGGTTATTAAAATATTTGACTATGCTGTTGCGCTGTGAAAGAGCCTAGTGGATATTATAAGAATCGTATGGAAAGTTTAATAAACAAATACATGGACGGCAAAGTAAATATCCGCTTTTGTGAATAAGGCACCATAAGCTAATAACTACCTTTTTTTCAATTTGCTGTTTTTGGAAAAGGGTTGAAAAAGAGTTCTTTATTAGTATAAATAACCTTAACAATTGAGTATACATGTATTTTAATTTTTTTCACTGAAATAGAATGTATAATTTTAGCACGATTTAGCTAACGGCATAAAAAGAAAGTTATAGTAACCATACAGATTAATAATGTACTGATGAAAAGTTATTTCGTTTAAAGTGAATCAGTACACTCCGGAAATTTGATATGAAAATAGTATATACCATTTTCATTGGTATATAAATAATTGAATGTAATTTGCTAGGACCAAACTTTTAAAATTATTTTATTTTTTTTTTTGTTTAATATATTGTGTACTTTACAATAAGAAGATTTTTTTAAGAGCATTCGATATTCGACTACATATACATAATATTGGTATGTACTTGCAATTTATATAGAATATAGTAATGTAAGAATACTATAAAGATAACATAATACTTTTTTATAAACAAGGGACTAAAGATAAATCATATTTTTACTGCATTTAATTTGGAAATATAATATTTTTTTATTTCTTCATATAGGCTAATGACGTAGGTACGAGTATTAAATTTGATTTTGTAATATAAAATAATTTTTAAAAAATATTGAAAAGAACTTCAAATTACTAATAAGGACTAAATATTCAAAATATAGTTTACTTTTATAGAGAAATATGTGGGTCGAGAATAAAAAGCTCAATATAAAGTAACTTAATATGAACTTATTTTAGTACTTATAAAATTTTAGTTGTAATATGTGGTAAAATTTGAATTTATTGAAAAAATTCGAGCATTTGTTAAAAAGTTTTGAAAATATTGTTGAAATTATTGTGATCTAAATTTAATCCGGCATAATTTTTGGCAAAAACAAAATCTCTGAAATCTGTGGTTTAAAAAAATTTAAGATCCATTTTTAATTGCTCCTTTTGTCAAACGAATTGCCTTTAAACAATGAATATTTTTATTACATTCTTAGATTTTTGAATTATAGTTACGGGTACTCATTTGGTAATGAGTCTTTTTAATCGAGTATTCAATTTGGGATCTTTATAACTTGTATCAAATATTTTCTTGATAGCTGTCGGAATTCTTGATTTTATATTAGGAATTTTCAAACACTGTCTAAATTTTTTTATAATGTAGAGCATATTGCTGAATTCTTACCTGTACTATGTATTATAATTTTTTGTCCTCCTTTTTGAAGGCTGCATTTTCCAATCATATAGTTATTATAGTTGAGACTTGTGTATTTTATGCCGTCTTGATTCTTAAAGAATTTTTAAAAAACATTGTTAATGTAAGAGCTAATGTTAATTTTCCCTTGCTTTTCATTTAATAGAACACATCCCTTTAATTGCAATTAATTTGTTTTGGGTTTTGAAATAAAAGTTTCCAGGTGAATAATAAAAACAAAAAAATTTACTTGATTTTCTTGCAATATTGTCTAGAATTTTTATTAAATTTGAAATGTTTATTTTTAATTTTTTATCTTATACAATAAAACAATCTTTTCGAAAATGACAAAAAATCCTGTAAAAAATATTAAAAAAAAAGCCCATAAAAATTTTACATAAAAGGCTTAACCACTTATACAATGCACACTTACACATTGACGTATAGCTATTGTACAAAACCAAATAATATTAAAATTTTCTACCTTTTCTAGAAAATTAAAAAAAAAAGGACTTGTATATTTCATTTTATTTGACACATTGTCCTTGTTCCAAATTTCATTCTGCTTAAATTTCCATTTTTTTCTGTATTCCTATTTTTTTCTTCATTTTGTATTGCAATTGCGACGAATTATTTTTTTTTCTTTCATATTTGCATTCTATTTTTTTTTCTTATTCATATTTTATTTTCAAGATTTGTTGTCCTTGTTCCGTTTTTTTTTTTAATATTTTTTATTTATTTTTTACCATCTACCTACCATCTATTATTTTTTTTCTCATACTTATATTTATCAAAAATATATCACATAATTTTTAATAAAATATAACATTAAGGATATGAAAATGTTTAAAAAGAATATAAAAATAAATAGGAGCAAAAAAAAATACCATGTGCAGAACAAAAGAAAAAAATAGATAACAAAAATGGGACATTTTATTTTATTGTATATATACTAAGAATCGCAGAATTCACCTATAAAACTGTCAACACTTTACAATGTATTTTGTGTATAGAGTTTAAGTGTATAGAAAAAAAATTCCCAATAAATGAGTAGATCCGGTACAACACAACAGGCATAACTACAAAACACTTACTGTCTACATAAATTTAACAAAATAACAAAGAAAAAATAGAAGAAATCAGTAAAAAAACTAAGTGAATTGGGGAAGAATAACAGTAAAAATTATTATATTCTGGCATTTTTAAATAATATAACGGTAAACATTTTCAATTTTGTTAAGAGCTTCACATAGTGAAATATTATGTCGAGTTTTACATGATTTTTTCTTTTTTATATTTTTCCCCATTTTATGTTTAACTTTTGATAAATTATTTTCTCATAATGTTTTATCGTACAACAAAAACGAAAAAAAAATCATATTTTTGACGTAAACGACTTTTCAAAAGAGTCTCATTTATGTTCCACTATAACACTGGAATTTTGCTGGAGCTATTGACTTTTATATTAAAACAGTAAAATTTTAAAGAATCTTTATAGCATTTAGCAGCTTCACGAAAGATTTCTACTATTGTGTCACAATACTTCACGAAATGTCAAAATATTTCTCTTTTGATGAATTCATTGCATATAAAGCATATCGGATGAGCAAATAAGCTGACATCAAAAATTCGAAGAATGACACCTATTAAAAGTTGAAACAAAAGAACAAACAAAAAATTTTTTCATCTGTTAAATTAGAGTCACAAATAACTGGCCTCAATATACTTAACAGCTCTGTAAGTAATGAAATTTTTCCATACATTTTCTTTAAAATTTACATTCTAATGTTGTAAGTTTCCAAAAATTTTGACCAAATTTAAAATTGTTTGTTTATTCGTAAATTTGTTACGCGTGTAACAAATTTACTTATTTCAATTCGGCCGTTGAAATAAGTAAATTTGTTACACGCGTCATAGTGCAATCAGAAAATTTTTATTAAATTCCTGTAAATTCATACCTATTTTAAAAAATATTTGTGTAAATCTCGTAATTCTTACGTTTATTAGTTGTAAAATCGCAACCAAAATTTTGACTGAAAATAAATATAGAAACGACCTTCTTCTCAAAAATTGTTTTAATTTTTTTTTTTTTGAAAAATAAAAATTTTTGTAGTTCGAGAAAAAATAAATTAATATTGTTGGGCTTTGATTATTTTTATGAAATGTTATAAATGTTAATATCTTTACATATAGAATCAGAAGAAACTAAGAGAATTTTATTGAATGCAAAGAAATAATTTAAAAAATAACCGGATGTATACACGGCCACATATTTCTTGTATACATATTTGGATTAAATTTCTCAAGGTCTATTCAGCATACCTTAAGTTAGTCTTGTACAACTTAAAACGATCGAATTA